ACCGCGGTGTGAATTATCTATAAGGTAGTTAATGTAATAAATAGCCCAGAAATATAATGGAAAACGTTTTTATACCGAACAAATTATTGATACATCTTTTTAACAATCACACCAAACCAAAACATAACATACAAAAGGTAAACATGACAATTAATATTTGATCAGATGTAAAGCCAAAATGAGAAATATTACTTCTCTAACAGTTAACTTATTATGCTTATCTCCTACCCTCAAAACGCGTGCTACAAAAAATGCTCAATCGACAAAAAATATTTAATTCGTTTGTTCATGCCTGCAAAGTTGCACACAGCTTGTGTTCAATGCGCCGACTGCAGCACACAGTGATGTTATCGCACGTCCGTGACCTGATAAGGCATTGAACGCGACGAGACGAGAGTGATAGTGATGTAGATGTGGCGGTGACATCAGCGACATCTCGGCCATCACTACATCCTGCGTGACGTCATCATCTTGTTAGCTACTCTCGCCCTCAGTAGTAACATAGATTAAACATAAACGGTTACGTAACTGAGGATCGTAGAGTTATAAACTTAAAATCACATAACTTGTTGTACTACACAAGTTCATACTTGATATTTTGCCTAAACCAAATATTAAACTAAACAAAATATAAGTGAATATTCGCCTTTGGCTTGCTTGGGGCTTCCACGTTCCACCTCTATTGTAGCCTTGTAGGGGGAGTGAAGGTATAAGCCTAGGGACACGTAATTGCTCGAGAATTCTTTTTCTCATGAAATTTATACATCGAAGGTTGTACCACAGTCCTGATTACCAAACCCAACAAGTAATTGCAAAGTAAATTTTGTTATACAATTGACTTCGGAAACTATAAATAATCTTCTCATCTTTGTGTCAAATCTGAAAAATTTGTGTTTCATGTTTGGTAACACTTTAATGTTTGAGACTGTTGATGTTGACTAAAAGTGTATCTCAGTTGAGAGTAAATTTACTGTTTCGCTAAACTTAAGTTAAAATACCAGAAGTCAAACGGTGGCTTACAAAATTAATTGTTCTATTTGCTCACAATAACTCAAGTACATATTATGTTATAATTCTATAATTTCCCTATAGGGAATAAGCTATTACCGTAGTTCTCATGGTAAGACCTGGACCAGGGACCGATTTACTTTTTTTGTTTTGATGACAGCATCGTTCAAATTCATATATGTAATCATTTAATAGAAAAATAAACCATGTAGGTACCCTTTTTTACATAAAAATAATTAAAAAAAGGGGTAAGGTTTATGTTTTTATTAATGTTAATAACAGTCCTACATATGAACAATATCCAATATAATATATTGTGTCCATTAGCACGATAACTCGAGCAAAAATGATCACATTTTAATAAAATTTGGTTCAAACGCAACCTATGTTCATTGAACGAGTTCGCGACCCAGCATGATTGGACCATGGGAACGGGGTTTTATGGGGTAAAAATTTCTCTCTAAACCATTTTGAAAAGCTTAAAAAACAAATAATTTAGTATATTGCGGCTACAGAGAAAATGGGGAAAAAAATGTAAATTTAATAGTCTCATGTTTATTCTTATGGAGAATTAGTAAACTGTAGTAGTTTGCTTGTTTATGAATATATTTTTATCAAACGATTTATTACATATTAAGCGCTATTAATTTTCTATTAAAACACACTTTATTACCCTCCCTGTAGCAGCAAACCTAGGTACTCGTCAAACCTAATGTTGGTGAAATATATTTAGTTTTAAATCAGATCAGTCAAATGAAAAATCACTTAATCTGCAGGTTTGCTGGGGGGTATTATCATCTCAGTTTCATATTTAATGCTTTTGTCATTCATTTGTTAAATAGTTTGTGAGCTGAAAAATGAATTATGCAACAACTTGTGAATCATAATAAGCTTAAAACAATCCCTACATAAGCTTAGATGGATTGCCTAGGTCAGGTTACTGCCTCCTCCCCTCATTACTGCTTGTAAGGCTTCTTCTCAGCTTTTATGACTCAGTGAATATTCACAGCCTCACAACTTACTAAAGAAAAGTACCTATTAAAAATACATTTGAGTTATAAGGAGTGACAAGAATAATGGTTTGTAGTTGGGGAAAACCCCTATTATTTCTGCTGATTTGAGTAATTTACAAAATGTCCAATCATCCTTAAATAAAAAAAAAACAAAACAATTAACACTACATTTGATCATAACATACACCAAGTATGTGTGCCATAGGGTAAAAGTACTTGCCGAGACTCAACTCCAGTTGCTTAACTCAAGTTGACCCATGTAAAAACCCCCATTAAGCTCAAAATGAAGCAAGATTATCTGAGTAGCTTTGTTACTAAGATCAGCTGATCCTTCAGCTAGGACCTTTTATTAAAAGCCCAATTGTCTAGGACAGCTGGGTCCAGTTAGCTACTGACTATTGAGTCAAATCAGCCACTTTCTGATTACAGTAGTTACTAGGAGAAAACTAAAACCACTCAGCTCAGTAAATATAAATCATTAAGATATGTGAAACTTTGTGATTGTAACTCTGAGATAAAACATGTAATTAATTACTGTTGACAAAGATGACCAAATTTGTCAAAGATGTCATGGTCCTAATTTGTCCCTGGCTAGACCAGTTTTGACAATTGGACCAGTTTGTTGTGAGTGTCATGTGGGTTGACAACAAGAGTTGGAAGTGAACAATTGATGACCCTCAACACCAATTGGACCTGAGTCTACTACAACAACAAACATATTGTTAAATGTCTCTTGCTCTTGTTTCTCATAAGAATAGATATTTCAGGAAACATATAACTTGGCTTTTACATTGAATACAAAAAAAAAAATTTGTTGGAATAGTATGAATTTGTTGACCTTGTCAAAAAGATTTTATTTTTTTATTTTGTGTGTTTTCTAAGTCAATGGCATTTTTTACGTTTTGAAAGGGAACAGTCCAAACCCTGATCTTGTTAACTAATATCCAACCTGTTTGTTGGGTCGCATCATTAGTTCATAGCCCAATGATTTAGTGACATGAAGTTTTTAAATTCATTTGAAAATAGTACACTTTAATTTAAGATGATTCATTTATGATTTATGATTCAAAATAAAGTTTTTAATTAAACTTGTGGAGTTCTTAAATATATTAAGTAAATACTGTCAAACACTTGTTGAATTGAGTATTAATTATACCTAACATTTTTCTTTATTATCAACTCTTTAAAAAAAAACTCTATGGGTTTTTCTATGGGTAATGATTTGATCATAATTTTTACTAAATAGTGGAGCACCTGAACAAAAACATAGGTTCCCCATGTCAGAACGTGGGTTTCCTCATGTCACAGAATATTCAAAGAGTTAAGAGACAGAATGAAAACCCATAATTAAGTAACAACTTTTAACTTTTAATGAGTATAAAAATATAATGTTGACAGTGTTGACACTTATATGAAGTACTAATACAGCATACAACTTGATGACTCCTAACTTTTAACCATTTTAATATTCAACAATCTCTATGAATATATTGATTTAGAAACCACTGACTATCAAATTTTTACATTACATGGAAAGTATATTCTTATTACAGTAAAAATAAGTGAAAAATTTGATAAACCTAAAAAAATAATAGTACAATCAAGGAATTTGGTACAGATGTTATGTTGGGTGTATCTTCCTTTTGAACATACTAAAAGTCCCTGGAAATTGAAGCTGTGCTACAGCCCCTATATTGGAAAGTAGCGGCATATTTCTATTCAAAAGGTAGATACACCCAACATCTGTACTAAATTCCTTGCTTGTAATCTTGTACTAATTGTTTGGGGTCAAAGCATATTTTTATTGTGCTATCTGTGTATAGTCAATGATTAACTCTACATTGTGTCTAACAAACAGCTGGCACAAAACAATTTGAAACTTGGTTTGCTTACAAACATTTGACCCTTAAATTGTGGCTTTACCTTTCTAATACAGGCAGTAAACCACAACAATGTATTCTCACAGACAAAAATTAGAATTAAGAGGGTTCCACCCGCCGCGCCGGTCCTACAAAAAAGAACCTTCTGACATTATTAAAGTGTTTATTGAGTTGAAATAAACTGTAAAAAATTCACAAAGATCCAAACTATGCACTGGCTGAACTGAAACTTCGTAATTGTTTCTTTAAGTATTTACAAAATAATTTTGAAAATCTGTAAATTAGTCTTTTTCACATGCGATTTTAACTTCTAAATAATAGTTAAATACCCCCGCCGCAGCAAACCTGCCGACTAAGCGAATTTCCATTTGTCTGAATTGATTTTCAGTTAAATATATTTTAATAACATTAGGTTTAACGAGTACCTAGGTTTGCTGCTACAAGGAAACTAATAAAGTGTGCTTTTGAGTAAAATATTGATAGCTTAGTACAAAATAAATAAATTTGCCAAGTTTGATCAAAATATATCCATAAACAAGCAAGCTACAACATTTGACAATATTCTCTATAAGAATAACATGGGAATTTTAAATTTACAATTTTTTAATTTTCTCCGTTACTAATAATCGAACAAAAATACTTTCATGTACTAAATTATTTGTTTTTTTAAGCTCTTTAAAAAGGTCTAAAGAGAAATCGGGAAATTTTGTGTTTTGAGGGTCAAAAGTGAGAAAAACCAATTTTTACCCCATAAAACCCCCCGTAAAGCCCCGTTCCCATGGTCCGATCGTGCTGGTTCGCGAACTCATTCAAGTTTATCCCGCTTTACACCTTTAAACCAAATTTCATCAAAATCGGACAAAAATTACTCAAGTTATTGCGTTCACGGACGTATATATTAGATATTAGACGTATATATATTAGATAAGTCTATATATATATATATATATATATATATATATATATACATATATAAAAATTTGAACGAATGGTGTTTTTGGCCTCTGGGGACATCAAAATGAAAAAGTAAATCGGTCCCGGGTCTAGGTCTTACCGTGCCACCTACGGTAATAGCTACTTCCCTATAGGGAAATTCGCTAAAAACTATTTTTGCTCCACCCACTGCAAGCTCTGATATGTTAAGAGCACCACAAGCACACAATAATTGGAAAAAATTAGTTTTAGAATGTTGGTAGCTTGTACTGTAGAGACATGTTCAGGAATATTAGCGTGTTTAGCCGCCATCTTAAATTGACCGGGTCGAACCCTCTTAAAAAACATGTCTAAAAAAATATAGGTTGTAGTTGTTTGAAATACATATCCTACTAACAAAAATGAAATGCTGACTAGAAATAGAAAATTAATTTAGGAAAATTAGTTGAATGGACAATAAGAAGTCATTGTTGGCCCAGGTATCTTGCTTGTTCTTAAAGAAACGTTTTGAATTTTTTGACTGTACGTTTAAAATAAGCAACCAGTTATTTGAACACAAATGCAAATTAAAAATGCTGCATGACTAGGTTTTATATTTAGCACTAAAACCTAGCAATTTTAGTGACTATGTGTTGTAATATGCTTACCCCCCATGCAAAATCCTAAAACTATAAAACTAACAACAAAACTTGCTATATTCATGATATCAATTGTAACTTTGCAAGAAAATTAACTAAACTAGAATCTAAATAACCTACAATTTCAAAGAAGGCACTTATAAAAAAATATATTGAAGATTGAATTAAAAGAAAGCGCCATTAAACTTATTCGTTGAGTCAACTTCTTCTGAATATAAATCAATTTTGCTTCCTAATTACAATGCGTTCAGACTTATTCACTGGTTGTAAAGTTTGTGAAAAGTTTATACAGAGTACAAAAATATAATTTACCTAAGGCAGTCTCATCCCGTATTACATTTTATAAACATTCATGGAATGCCACAATAAGAATTGAATATGTGAAATAAACTTCAAAGCATCATCATATCCAGGGGATTGTTGATATTTCTAGCTTGTAAAAGCTAGATAGTGACAACACTTTAAAAAAGAATAATGCACTATTTCAATAACACTATCAATATCACTACTGTACTGTTGTGTGGTACATTCAACGTAATTTCCATTTAATCTGGATTATAAACTAAAATGTCTCTAAATTATAATTTTTAAGTGCAAGACTTGAACAATTACAATTCCCATAACCTTAAAGTAACCAAAAAATTGGTATTCTGATAAAAACATACAACATTCACTACAGATTAACAATACCCGTAGCCCCCAAGTCCTCGGGTTTTGATAAAAAGTCGTCAATCATTGAGTTGATTTTGTCTGAAAACTTGTAGTGGAAATTATGTCTACCTTTTTTAATCACACGGTACCTGAAACAACAAAAAGTACTTACAAATGAAAAGTGTTTAAGGTAACTACAAAGCATTATGATCGTAAGCTTTATAAACCTATATAAAGTGATATTAAAGTGATCAGATAAACTATCGGAAATCAAGGCCAAGATTAAAAAAGTAAATAAAACACCAAAAACATATAAGAAAATTAAAATGTACTAAAGTAATGTGGTGTACTTTGGAAAAATTCACATGTTGGAAATCACAACAGATAAAACAATTGAATAAATTTACCAGAATACGGTCAAAAACTAACACAAAAATTATAATATATTTTCACAAGGTTAGAACTCACAGTAGGTGTGAGAGTGCTCATTTAATTTTGTTTGTGTTATGCAACAGCATTCAACAGGTTTGTTTATTGTAAGAACAATATTCAGAAGGTATAAAAATCATATCATAACTAGCGGGATTTTCAATTGCAGCATACTTTTGCAGCTAGAATATTACAACAAAGTAAAGCGAAACAACACTTCTTGCTGGACAGTCGCTGAGGAGACAAACGCGTCTTCTTTCTTATTTTCTGAATAGCCCTCGCACTTTGTGAAATTGCTAATTACTGAACCTCCAACTACGTCCATTGTGGTTCGGTAATATATGAAGGTTTTCACTGTTTCTACTGTGGAAACAAATGTATTTTATACAAAAATCTTGCTTAGTATAAAATGAATTTAAGACCATTAGGGCACATTTATCAAGGACCATGTATTATACAGTACTCTGCTAGATGTTTCATGTACTCACTCCGCACTCTGGATGTGTCTGGCCACATATTCTCCATGATGTAGAGGTACTACAGGGTCCAGCTCTCCATGTAACACCAGTGTCGGACACTTCACTTGGGACAAATACTTGCGACACACCTCGCCATCTCTCTGGCTCAACGTGTCCTCGAAATATCTGTAGAGGCAAACAGACAAAACGTCAAGGAACAAATTGGTTAAGCAGTTGGTGTAAACAACATGAATCAGTAAGTGTCAACAGCCACAGAGAAGTAAGGAGCAGAGGATTCACTCCATAAATCCTCAAAAGGAATGGAAGGATTACACTTATATTATGTAAACAGCACACAGTTTATCTGCATTAAAAACTATACAATTCACACATTTCATTTTTTTAACTATGCCTTTGACTATTGACAGAAGTAGAGCATCCCATTTCCATGCGCTGTAGCCAGTTTTACAAATCGTTTTATGTCCCGACTTTTCATCCCAGGACGCTAGGTCCTAGCCCGAAACTGGTTCACCCATTACATCGGACTAGTGTCACAGCACATGGATAGAATCCATTGGCAAGATTTGAACCTGGGGCCTAAGGCTCCCAAGCCCCGAGCTCTACCGATAGACCAGCTCACTTCCAACCAGTTTTAGGATGAAAATGAATGTAGTTAAATTGAGCCACCAACAGAGTGTGCTGATGTCATTTACCAATTTCTGTTAAATGCCAAAGTTTTAACCAAACTGAATTAAGACATCTTATTGTAAACTATAGCATCTTTTAAGTCACACCCAACTATTAAAGTAGTTGAAAATTATCTTACTATTGAAAATTAAGGAAGAAAATAACAATTTGTACTGTAGCACAATCAATTTAAATAAGCATTGACTACAGCTGGTCCTTTACTTTACTTTACTCTACTTTACATTGAAATGGCAAACATACAAAGTAGGTAAATTAACTAAAATATGAATGGAGATGAGTGTAGGATGAGTGGCGCGATCTTGTAGTCTTGTTAGTGACTAAGGTTCGACTATTTCGACACATTCCTTAGACACAGCTGTTAATTAATAGCCCATACAGATAATGGCAACTAAGGGACCTACAGTTTATAGTGGAATCCGAACCACATTTTTGCCTTGGTCCATCCATATCATATACAGTACGGTAGACTCCCTCTTATCCGGACTCCTCAGGACCGAGGCTAGTCCGGATAACGGTTTTTCCAGTTGAACCGACGTCCCCAAAAAACTTGTAAAAACGGACCGTTTAAATGCATACTGTATACAGTATTTGACTTAAATTTAGGAGAGCTTTGTTTTAAGACACGTGGTCACTGGTCTCAAATCTTTCCCACGAGAACAGTTGTTAAAGTACCGCCCACTTCCTGCCGATCTAGTCCGGTTTAACCAATGTGCTCATAAAAATTGTCCGGTTGAAGAGATGTCATTTCCGCCGAGTGTAGTCCAATAAAAAGTTTTCCAGATAAGAGGGAGTCTACTGTAGATGGGTTGCCTACTTCACTACCCAATGGTCAATGGTTATACTCCCACAGACAATTGCAACTTTCAAGTTGAAGTTTGGCTAGCAACACTGTGCAAGTTATATTTTGCACATTGAGAAACCTTCTGAGCATATTATTCTCCTGCGTAAACATAATAATTTTTGTAACTGTGGTGGGCTAGTGAGGATTGAGTTGTAATTGTACTCACTGGCAGTAGTTAGTCCACAATGTTGTCAGGTATTCAGCTCCATACACAGCCTCCAGTTTCTGCCTCAACTGTGGTGTCCACTGGCTGATATCCTTCAGCCCTGTCAACATTATACTACACAGTTCACTTCAGCAACTGCCTTTAAATGGCAAATCTGTAGACAGTTCTATATTGCTAGTCAACAGTGAAAATGTGACAGATAACAAAATTGATCATTAATATAAACTAGATAACCTGTTGCTCGAAATCGAGCAAAACTGCAACTTGTAGGCCTAATAAAAAAATAAACAACAAAAACATAAACAGCAAGACCTCAATCAAAGAGTAATTCTAAAGTCTATGACTGATTATAGAAATACGAAAAATATTATGTTGTAACAAATTATAAAACTAACCTACAATATTTAAATATAGATCCGCTCTCATACTGCTTTGGTCATTTCTTATGTATTGTAGGTGGGTACCCACTATGAGAACGTAGATGTCAACCACACCCTGTAAAGTGAGCTTTTCCGACCTAATGTTGCTAGCCAAATCCCTCTCTTGACGCAAACCAGTACGACACGTAATATAGCACTCTTAAATTACTTCTACGATAGGTTCTGTTTTAGGCGTGTTTAAATTAGGGGCCCCAACCAAAGTTTCCAGTTGGGAACATTAGAGGGCAAGCAAGTGGATCTAACGACGGATCTAGAACGGATTCGCGTTTAACATTATTAGTAAAAAAAAAGATTTATTTGGTCTGGTGGTCCTCTGTTTTCAGCTTTAAAAATAGCGGCGACATTTATACAGTTCGCATCATTGTAGCGAGGAAAGCCAATTATTTGATCTCTTATGATGTACATAAGAATCTCCCTTAACTCCTCGGAGCTCTCGTCCCTACACATTTCTACCACAGTTTTAAAAGATTGGGCAAATGGGTTGGCAATGTGACCCTATTTCCCACATATTTTTTCACCGAATCTTTCCTTTCAAGTGTTATGGATCTTGAAATTGTAGATCCCCTGTATGATCCTCTCATCTAAATGAGCTCCAGAGCTGACCATGGCAAAGGCGGAATTGAATTGACGAATTTTATTCTAATAATTTCTAGATCCAAAAATTATTAGAAACTATTATTGGAAACTATTATTACTATTATTACAATTACTATTGCTACTATTACTATAATTATACTACTATTACTATAATTATTGGAAACTCACAGCCCTGATTTCAGATTGGGAGTTTCCAATATGTTCCTGAAAGTATGGTGAATTCCGCAGATGAGGTAAATGGTTCTCTCATTTATGGCAACAAAGAGTAATAATTGAACTGTATCGGCCAGACTTTTTTTTTTTCTTAAAATGTAAGCCACCACAATGTAAACATCTAACGTTCATTTGTCCAAGGTTAGATGTATCCCACACGATGGTTGCCACTCTGTAATCTTTAAATGATACATTGGGAGATTGATGCAAGCGGCCACGTTTGCGTTTCCTCCAGCCACTCATAGTTTTCTTCTTACTGGTGGCATATTATTTTAAATTTAGATAAATTACGAAAGTTAACAAAACAACAGAAAACACTACAACGGAATTGTTATACACATTGTAAATTACATGATATGGTGATGTAACTGCACTGGAAATAATCACTTTCAAACATTCATTTCATCACACCAAACTGTAACCAAAACAACACGATAATTCAGTAAAATACGATGTAAGGTAAATACATTCAACTATTTACAAACAATTTGTTGTCAAGTTTTGCTAGGAAACTCTTTATTTAAGAAACAGATTTAGTTAACAGATGTTTAGATAAAAATATAAAATTCCGGCTTTGCTCTGGAATAAATAAGTCCTGCAGTCTATGGTCAAACTTAAAAACTAATAATAAAAAGAATTAAATATTTATTCTTACTAAACACTTTGTTGTCTAGTATTGATAGGATGCTCTTCATTATGAACCAGACTTAGTTAACAGATTGAAACAAAATATAAATTCCAGCTTTGCTCTGGAAGTTTTAAGTCCTGCAGTCTGTGGTTAACCTTAAAAACTATTTCAAACTACGTCCATATGTTATTTGTAAACAAAGGTAAATGAGTTTGATCAAATGTCAACAGATGGCGCCACCTTCCAAACTTTAGCCCTTAATAATTGTACTTAAGTGGTGACCTTTCCAAATATTCTGAGACGTATTTGCACATCTACGTGAAAATACCTTTAATTTGACACCTCAAACTTTAAAATCCATCAAGCCGTTATTGAGTTATGACTGTGAAAAGAAAACTGCTTGGGTATTAATATATAGACTCGCCTTTGGCTCGCTGGGGGCTCCGCCCCCAGGCCCCCTAGCTGTTAGTCGTCATTAGTAGATTAGAGTTTAGTTTGTACAATGCAGTCAGTGAAACAGTCAATATTACGTTACATAAAAACAATTTTAGGAATATATTACAAGAGGTTAGCAAGTTAATTTCAAGCTCCAACTTAAAAAACCCTTAAAAAATCTATTTTAAAGTTGCTGAAATAGAGTATGTTAGTAAAGTATTTTTACAACTGAGTTTTTGGTCAAACGAAGTGATAATACAATTGGGGTTGTGATAGCGAAAATCGATATAGAAGTAATAACCATCTCACGAACATATTATAGTAGATTGATAAGTTTAATAGTAAAGTATTATTATGAAATAAATAGATTATAGTAAATAAGTTATTTTTGTTTCCCTGTCGGTTAGCCACAAACTGTATGGCATATCCAGTTCCGCCACGAGGAGGCCAGGAAACGTCGGAACCATATTTACAATTACTTATAAATGTACAAGTTAGTAAACTTTTGTATAAGATTAGTAGATTGATTAGTATGTCGATTGATAAGTGAATACGTTGATAATAGTAAAGTATCATATTAAATAAATAGATTATAGTAGATATTCATGTATATATTTATGAAAATAGATCAAGTAATGTTTGTTTCCCTGTCGGTTAGCCATAAAATTTATGGCATATCCAGTTCCGCCACGGGGAGGCCAGGAAACGTCGGAACCATATTTACAATTATTTACAAATGTACAAGTTAGTAAACTTTACTAACTACTTTATACAACAACGGGGACTTTTGATAAGGCAGGCCCCCTATCGTACTGCCGATGTTGTCAAGTCACAACGGGGAGTTTTGATTAAGCAGATCCCCTAGCCTACTGCTGGTGTCAAGTCCGGTTTAGAGAAGGAGATCGCCATACACGATGTTCTTTGCGTATGCGATTCCATCTCGGACACGTTCGGGATGGACGAGAACGACAATATGGTCGGGATGTCTGACCCTACTGAGCAAGACGTACAGTTGCCCGTGCGTGAAGCAATCGGTCCGTAAATCAACACCGACTGAATCTATTGTCTGACCTTGGCTCTTGTGTCCGGTCATGCAATAGGCCAACATCAGTGGGAACTGACGTCGACGAACACGTAACGGCGAACCCTCGACAAACGCAAAAGTAAAGGTAATCAGGGGAATTCCGATAGGTTGCGTCTGTCCGGGAAGTCTCACTGTAATCAGGCGGTTGGAGATGCCGATTACGATGACTTTAGTGCCGTTGACGAGTCCTTCAGCGATGTTGAGGTTCCTCATAATGAGGCAAACAGAGCCGATCTTCAGCCGCAGAACATGGTCTGGTACGCCCTTGCCAGTAGCCGTGTTCAGGAGTTGAACGTCGACATCCAGGCCATCGTCGTTCTCTCTGTCAACTGTGTCGGCGCTCCTCAGCTCGTACAGATGACCGTCGAGGGAGTTCAAGATGTGGTCGTTGATCTCCTTGACGTTCACTATCAGAGTCGAGAGGATTGCGCGTCGCGAACACATATCAGAGTCGAGTAGGACGTTTGCGGGAAAGACGGAATCGACCAAATCAGTCAAAGACGTCACTTGTCTAATCCCGTGCAGCGGAATTAGACTTTGTTCGTTCCGTCCCTCCAAGAAAGTTGTCGAACTGACAGTCCCGTTGCCTACCTCAAGAAGGAATTCGGAATAGGCTGTGGAACCACTAGTCCGATGAGCTGTCGTCAGGGCAAAAATTTTGAAATGCTGCCACAGATGGGAAGCCCGAAGAGAAACACAAACTATGTCAGATGGCGTTCGAGCGTTCACAACGACGAGTGCGATCTGGCGGAAGTCGCCACAGCAGAGGAAGATTTTGCCACCGAATAGCTCATTGGAACGCATGAGGTCTCGCAGGGATCTGTCGAGAACCTCGAAAACAAACCGATGTGCCATCGGGGCCTCATCGAAGACAATAAGCCTTGCAGCCCTGATGAGCTCTGCTCGCTGGGAGCCGTTGGTGATATTCCAAAAGCCGGTGCCGTCACCGAAGTCGAGTGGCAACCTGAACATGCTGTGAGCTGTAGTCCCACCAGGCATGTTACCCGCGGCGATCCCAGAGCTGGCGACTGCCAGTGCAACCTGACGACAACCTCTCACGTATGCGAGAATGACACGAATAAGAGTGGTCTTTCCGTAGCCACCCGGACCGTCAAGGAAAATGATTTTCGACGACGTTCCGCTGGCTGGGGCATTGAGAACGGAGGCAACGTACTCAAATACACGGTGTTGGTCTTCAGAGAGCTTTGTCACCCACTCCTCCACAAACGCTCTCTGTTGATTTTCGCCGTGTAAGAGCAGTTCTCTGCCCAACTCCGTCGTGTCATCGTGTACATCGGGGAGGCCGTGATCTGCGACGCAAGAGCCCTGCCGACGGAGACTACGATCAATCTCGATGAGACCTAGCTTGTAGGCCAGTTCAACATCGAGAGGATTACGTTCAATGTGGTCCTCGCAGATGGAATCACGGAATGCATCCCACAGGAGAGCTGCGGGAGCTCCCATGTTGCAGAGGATCACAAAGAAAGAACGAAGTCTCGGGCCAGTCATGAAAGTGGCGGCCTCGCGCAGCGCGTAGTGGTACTCCTGTTCATCTTGCACCAAGCCAAGATGCCGCGCGACCTCTTGAAAAGTGCGGCAGTTCGGCCCACCGCGGGACAGGAGGTCGGCATAACCACGGCAAGCAACAGTCATCAGTAGGATACGCAGGTAATACTGTTCAGTCCTGCTCGGAGAGACCCAAA